ATGAAGTAAGTGGAAAAAAATAAACACGGTATATACAAAAGGGACAAATCGTCATAATGGAAGACGAAAACTGTCATCTAGCAAGATGGCCCTTCGGCATAGTAGAAGAAGTACATAGGGTAAAAGACAATAAAATCAGGGTAGTAAAGGTAAAATTACAAGAGGGCCACAAGACCCATTACCCGCTTATTGGTATACAGGCACAGGACATATTACTTAGTTATTATTATTAGTTTCTTCATAATAAATAAACAACTGAGCTCCTTAATTGATCAATGTGACAAAATTTAGTTCGACTCAATCCAAACATTTTAAAGCCAAGACAATTAAGGGACGAAGTCTCCAAGATAAAAGATAGCCTATCCGAAAAATTAGTACTTCCAGGAATGAGAATAAATACAGACATTAGGGAGATTTATACACTGTTAAAGGCAAAGGGCATTTTCGACAATAAACTCATCATAAATGTCAAAATACCATTATTCAGTAGACACCCGTCCCATCTTTTTAGAATTATACCAGTACCAATACAAAAACAGGGACAGATGACAATGACACAGTTATAATGCAGATGATAATGCCGCGTTCAGAATATTAAGTATAGTGTATAGTATATATATAGTATAGTGCTAGTGATAACACCTGCGAAACTTCAGCTCTTAAACCAAACAGACCATCGAATTGTATTTATGTATCTATAATAACAGCCAAAACATACTGGGTAGGACTAGAACGCAAAGCAGTTTGATCTTTAAGAACCTGCGTAACACGACAAGTAGGATCCACTGCGAAAAAAACACCACCAGAAATATTATCTATCAGATCTGACTGTACGACTGGAACAGAAGATAAATTGCCAATTGCTCATTATAAGATGCAATCAGAAAGGCAGGAAACCATTATTCCCTCGACCTACGCTAAGAAATATCATGTTAGAATGCTAAGTAGCAAGGGTGAGGAAAAGACCCTAATTAAATACAATATTTTATGATCGCTGCTGCCAAAATTGCATTGACAGCAGACCTAAAATAAGACACTCTGTTAGTATATAGGACCTAGGATTCGTAAGAAAAAAATCAGTATCTTACAAGTACTCAAACCCAACTGTCTAGTTTATTTTGTGTTTCTTAACCGATCTTGATATTTTCAGCTGTACATCTTATTGTACTATAAAATATTCGTATATTCTCAAAATGATAATTGCTTTTAAAATGTGGCTTATATTGTGGGGCAGCATAAATTGGTTTTTTTACTTGATTTATAGCTATCAGGTAGTAGGAAGGAGGTGGTCATAGGTATAAAATAAAATATACTTCATAAATATAGACTATTCTAGAAGCTACATGTCATAGCTCTTATTAATTACCAAAACTGCTCAAATCATATCGATTTTAACGATTCTTTGGAAACAGGCATGTAACCGAATATCGGAAACAAACTCGACAGCGCCTGATAAGGGCTGATGTCTTGATGTCCGTTTTTCTTACATAAAGATTTAATCAGTTTTATTCCACTCATTCCATCTAAAACAATATGTCACAGTCTTGTCCAAAAATTAAACAAGTGAGAGTTGCAAGTCGGGAGCTTCCGAGTAGGGGATACCCTGAACACTCCTCTTCCAACACCCATTTAAGATGTTTGAGAGTGGCTTTGCCATTATAGATTTTTTTCGGCCTATATTTTCATTTGGGGTCGCTAAACGTACGAATTTTTTCGCTAAGTCTGCAAATTTTTTTTTTTATTTCAAAACGCTTTTAAGAAGCTTGTGTTAACTGCGGGAGAGGCGTTCTGGACTACAATCTTGCAAATCAGCAGACCTAGATACTGAATCAATTCCGAGACAACTCCGCCCTCAGCCAAAATGTCAGAGAATGACTCAGCATCCTTGTGGGATGTGAATGGGTCTACATGGAGTGGCCGCCTTTACTGGCGCAACTGAATAGGGCGAATAGAGCAAGAGGTGATAAGATCAGGCTATATTACCGTTTTCATGATCAAAAACTAACAATGCGCGAATAAATGAATTATACCAGCTTTTTAATACTGCAATTTATAGTGAAATAGGGAGAAGCATCCCAATCCCATTTTTGTTACTTTTCAGGGTAGGGAGGGTAGAGGGAAAGAGACACGATCAACACGTTAGTTCTTTCACTTAAGCGAAATTGAATAATGTGAATTTGGATATTATATTATATATTAGGAGCTTGCTTTTGATCAATAATTTTCTTATTATTTTTTGTTTTGTTTTGATCGTTTTGTTTTATTTTGGTTGAAAGTTAACAAAAGCTAAACTGAACTGAAAGGAAAAAATTACATATTTGGCGCCCAATTCGTGGGATCCTACCAAGCAAATAAAACTTTAGGAATCTCAAGAGATACTTGTTTTGGCCAAAAATATCGGCCCAAATTCATGAATATATAGTAAATTGCGGCGTTTGTCGGCAAACGAAAAGCCGTAATGAAGTGTTGAAACCTTCAATGGGCAAGCTTATTACATCAGATCGACCATTTCAGAGGCTGGACATGGTTCTTCTAGGGCCATATCCTCGGTCAAAGGACGTCAATATAGGCCTTCTGATGGTTATAGACCATAATACTAAATTTCATTTTATGTGGCTTCATCGCGCGTCTACTGCCAACAAAAAGATCGACCATCTAGAAAACACATTGTCTTTTACTTTCGGCGTGCCAGAAACTATTCTGACCGACAACGGCTCGCAGATCGAACCTAGTGTCTTTAAAGCTTTTCACACGATATGAAATCATCCATATTTGGACGGAAGTATACTCGCCACAAAGCAATGAGTAAATAGATTAGAGCAAGCGGCTATTCGAGTCTATATCGGAAAAGATCATTCAAATTGGTATAAAATGATGTATGCCATTGGTGCTGCCTTGGGAGCCAGCGTTCACCAAAGAACAGGGTATTCCTTATATTTTTAGCGCTTGGAAAAAATGTGCTGTTGAATCTCTTATCCGACGCCACAGCTATTGAGTGACCCACGGCTTTACGAGTAAGCCGTCAGATAGCTATAGATGATGTAACTCACTCACACAATAGAGGTATATAATCTGCGTAGTCGAAATATAAATATATAACTTTTGCAAAGATGTCAGAGACCAAGATTGCAATTGTGTTACAAGTTTCGAAGTGTTCTTTTGTACGCTAATAGAAACCAAAAATCTTTATGGTAAGTCGACCCAATAACCTAGTTGTGATTCGGGGTGTCCATTTAAAGAAAATATTTATATGTGCTGGTGTTAGGACTTGGAACTAATTAAGGACTCCACAGTTTTTGTGTCGTCTTTGTTAGCCAGAGTAGTGACAAAGAGCATCGAATATATTTAGACGTTCCAGTCGGCGATACCAAAAGTGCACATCTGACCAGACAAGGGCACGGTCGCAATTAGCAACCTAGTAGGAACAATTTTGTAACCAGGTAGCTATCGGCCTCGGTCTTGTGAAGAACAACATCTGCTGTAGCCTCGGGAAACGGCGTCAAGCGGGAGAAACGCTTACTACTTGTGCAGCACCATCGGGGACCTCATCCACTAAGCGTAAAGTGTAACCCGTAGCACTAACCAAAGAACATATAGACTGGACAACCAGTGGACGGCGATGGGGCCTCTAATTTTTGTGTGGCTGGTCCAAAGTCGTCTTCGTTTTTGTTCGGGTTCAAGACACGCTCGCGGGCTCAGACAGCAAGAGAGTAAGAAATACATATGACTTTTGCGATAGAACGGCATAGCTGCTTTTTTTTTAATTCCTTCGCACTACACGAAACTGCTTTGGCTTACCCTCAGTGCTCTTTCAGTTTGTGTATTTACCTTTGTACTGTCTGTGTGTGTTTTTGTCCGCTCAAGTAAAAATGCCCACAAATTCAATTTTTGTCAATAGTCGGTGGTTTTCTTCCCTTTTGAATGGACGAGTAATATGAAATAATGAAAGGTTTTGCTACAACGTTGCGAAGGGTACCTAAGCGTTGGCATGTGTTCATTTACGATTCCTTGGTCTTGCTATTCACGCATACTTGCATATTTTGTATATGATTAGAAGTATTCATGCGCTTGTGTGCCTGTTGGTTATCTGCCTGCTTGCCCGATGCAAATTTGACAAAATTTGAAGTTTTTATGATTTGTGTATTTTGGTCGCTAAACACACACACAAGCACACAAATGTGTGTAAATGGGCAGGTCATGCGGGCAAAAGAATATTCATCAGTCACTTGACCAACATACATATGCAGGTGCAGGTGCTTGGCAATAGTTGACTCTTTCGGCCTCACTGGCTGCTGCAGTTAATAAAGGGTCAACATTCATTCACCAATTCAAATCCAAAATCATAAAAAAGAAGTGCACGCGTCAGACAAGTGCCAAAAATGAATTTTCTGCCAGAGTGAAATGAATTTCGTCCTCCACGAGAGCTAAGTTCTGATCACTATGGAATATACTATTCCGCTCATAGCGTGGAGATCCCGATAATGGTTTAATGGCAAGATTTTGTAATCGATGCAGCTTGCACCGATTAGACAAGGTAGCATTGCCAAAAATTTGAATGCCATAACGCCAAATAGGCAAGAGACTTCTCAGTAGCCATCCCATGCTCTTAAGCTTTTTTCTGCTGCTTTTGAAGGTGGGCTCGATATGGCAGCGAAACGGCAGGCAGCGGTAGGCATAGTATTCAATCCGACTTACTGGAATATCTAATAAGAAGAATCTGATTTCTCATTTTGACTAGAAATGCTATGCTACCTCACTTTTTATGGGCACAAGATATGTAAATTAGACATCTTCTAGATATTATATATTATTTAAAATAATAATTTTATGTAATAATGTATAGAAATATCGCTAAAATAAAAGATTATTTTCGGCTTGCAGTTAATCTCTTATGAGTATTTTAATTTGTAAGAAAGCGCATTTGTACAGCAATATTAAAAGAAAACATAATGTTCTCTTAATACAGGTGTTAATGAATAATGTATAGTGTGTGTTGTTACCCCCATCCTCTGATTTTTCTGTAGTAGCAATCATTGCATTTGTCACGGTTTGTTCCATGGATATACAGTCGTTGTCTAAATAAAATATTTATTTATAAAAATTTTTAGTTTTATAAAACATATAACTTAAATATAAATATTTATAATAATATGCATGTATTTGTATACCCTGAACACATTTATAGTGCATAACGAGAAAGAAAGAAAATATTCGGTACGCCGAAGATTTAATACCCTTGTAGATCTAACCTTTCAATAGGGCTTTGCCCGTATCTAAGAAGCACAGTGAAAATAGTTAATGCCGAGTTTGGTCAAGATATCTTGAAAATCAAAAAAAATTCCATATAGCAACTTAATTTTTGACCAGTCGTTGCTACGGCGGCTACATGATATAGTTCTCCGATGTAAATAAGATTTTGCATAAATGGAGAAAGCGTAGCGGCATTTATTAGTTTTACTATACTCCTCAAATATATGCAAAATCCTATTAGGATCGGACCACTATATCATATAGCTGCCATAGGATCGATATCTTGACCAAACTCGGCATTTATTAGTTTTACTATACTGCTAATATATATGCAAAATCCTATTAGGATCGGACCACTATATCATATAGCTGCCAAAGGATCGATATCTTGACCAAACTCGGCATTTATTAGTTTTACTATGCTACTCATATATATGCAAAATGCTATTAAGATCGGACGGACCACTATATCATATAGCTGCCATAGGAACGATCGGTCGAAAATTAAGTTTTTTATGAAAAAACATTGTGTTTATCAAGATATCTTGACCAAACTCGGCATTTATTAGTTTTACTATACTCCTCATATATGTGCAAAATCCTATTAAGATCGGACCATTATATCATATAGCTGCCATAGGAACGATCGGTCGAAAATTAAGTTGCTATATGGAATTTTTTTTGATTTTCAAGATATCTTGACCAAACTCGGCATTTATTAGTTTTACTATACTCCTCATATATATGCAAAATCCTATTAGGATCGGACCACTTTATCATATAGCTGCCATAGGATCGATATCTTGACAAAACTCGGCATTTATTAGTTTTACTAAGCTCCTCATATACATGCAAAATCCTATTAAGATCGGACTACTATATCATATAGATGCCATTGGAACGAGCGGTCGAAAATTAAGTTTTTGTCCGAAAAAACATTTTGTTTATCAAGATATCTTGACCAAGCTCGGCATTTATTAGTTATACTATACTCCTCATATATATGCATAATCCTATTAGGATCGGACCACTATATCATATAGCTGCCATGGGATCGATATCTTGACCAAACTCGGCATTTATTGGTTTTACTTTACTCCTCATATATATGCATAATCCTATTAAGATCGGACCACTATATCATATAGCTGCCATAGGAACGATCTGTCGAAAATTAAGTTTTATGAAAAAACATTTTGTTTATCAAGATATCTTGACCAAACTCGGCATTTATTAGTTTTACTATACTCCTCACATATATGCAAAATCCTATTAGGATCGGACCACTATATCATATAGCTGCCATAGGATCGATATCTTGAACAAACTCGGCATTTATTAGTTGTACTAAGCTCCTCATATACATGCAAAATCCTATTAAGATCGGACTACTATATCATATATCTGCCATATAAACGATCGGTCGAAAATTAAGTTTTTGTCTGAAAAAACATTTTGGTTATCAAGATATCTTGACCAAACTCGGCATTTATTAGTTATACTATACTCCTCATATATATGCATAATCCTATTAAGATCGGACCACTATATCATATAGCTGCCATAGGAACGATCTGTCGAAAATTAAGTTTTATGAAAAAACATTTTGTTTATCAAGATATCTTGACCAAACTCGGCATTTATTAGTTTTACTATACTCCTCACATATATGCAAAATCCTATTAGGATCGGACCACTATATCATATGGCTGCCATAGGATCGATATCTTGAACAAACTCGGCATTTATTAGTTGTACTAAGCTCCTCATATACATGCAAAATCCTATTAAGATCGGACTACTATATCATATATCTGCCATATAAACGATCGGTCGAAAATTAAGTTTTTGTCCGAAAAAACATTTTGTTTATCAAGATATCTTGACCAAGCTCGGCATTTATTAGTTATATTATACTCCTCATATATATGCATAATCCTATTAAGATCGGACCACTATATCATATAGCTGCCATAGGAACGATCTGTCGAAAATTAAGTTTTATGAAAAAACATTTTGTTTATCAAGATATCTTGACCAAACTCGGCATTTATTAGTTTTACTATAATCCTCACATATATGCAAAATCCTATTAGGATCGGACCACTATATCATATAGCTGCCATAGGATCGATATCTTGAACAAACTCGGCATTTATTAGTTGTACTAAGCTCCTCATATACATGCAAAATCCTATTAAGATCGGACTACTATATCATATATCTGCCATATAAACGATCGGTCGAAAATTAAGTTTTTGTCTGAAAAAACATTTTGGTTATCAAGATATCTTGACCAAACTCGGAATTTATTAGTTCTACTATACTCCTCATATATATGCAAAATCCTATTAAGATATATCTGCCATAGGAACGATCAGTCAAAAACTAGGTTTTTGATTAAAAACCTTTTTTGTTTATCAAGATATCTTGACCAAACTCGGCATTAACTCTTTTTCCTGTGCTTCTTAGATACGGCCAAAGCACTATAAGCATCATGAAAAGGTTGGGTCTGCAAGGGTATTAGATCTTCGGCGTGCCGAAGATAGCCTTTCTTTCTCGTTTAAAGGTGAATTTATTTACTTATGTCTGTGGCGGCAACCAACAAAACAGTTTAATTCTCTTCTCAGTTTAATATCTTGCCGTCAACGTAACGGATGTGGAGGACGCGGCACAGTTGTAGTCTATTTTACCTACAGCAAAGAGAATGGGAGGTCCGTCAGCGTAATGGACGATACTTACTTACTTAGTAGCCTAAGGGTGGTAAAAAGTTACCAGTCGAGCAATTCTGACAATAAACTAATTATGGAATCGTCACAGTTGCAGATTATTATAGCAACAACAGTGGGCACTGCGTTGGGTGTTCAAAGGGAATAAAGAATAAAATACATGAGCTCACAAGCCGAAAACAAAAGTTGTCGGTGGCAGATCCTGGGTAAAAGTCCACGACTCTGTGACCCTGGAAGCGGGCGAAACTTGCGACGAGATTCTCGGCGTTGTGGGGTCTCTCCCAGAATTGAATGGCGCTCACGAACACTATGTATCTTGGCGTCAAGCGACAATGGCAGCATGAAAAACAAGGCGACCAAAAAGACATAAGGTATAACAGAAAGCTAGGCAAAAGCCCATACTTTAAAAAAACCAATAGGACAGTCGCAGGAGGCCTTCCTCTTACTACATAAAACCGTTGATCATATAAGCAGCTGTCATAAAACTAGATCATTAAACTAATCATGCAGAAGAATTGTGAAGAGAAAAATGTATTTAAACATAAATTAAAAAAATGATTAATATTCTTAATTTTCGTCAAACCCAATTCACCCGCTGCAGCCGCTGCTCGTCTGGTCCAAGCATAGACGAGACATTAAATGATAAGCGCAAAGTCTTAGACAGCAGATCCAGACCTGCTGCGCTGCGAAAACAGAAAAAGACTTACACCAGTCCAGTTGACATACATGCTCCCAATAAATAGGCTCTCTTGGCACCACCCGATAACGACGATAGCAATTACTATCCGAAGTAGTAGACCTGGATAACCTGACCCTACCAAGATAGGACTATGCGACTCCTAGCCAATGATAAGCCCACATACAGGGCCTTCGTACGGAATCTCGAAGAGCAAAAAATTCAGTTCTATTCATACCAGCTGCGGGAGGAGAAGCCCTACCGCATAGTCATCAAAGGCCTCCACCACTCAACCGAGAGCACATTGACGACCGGCGGAGCCAGGGCCATACCGTTTTCCACGCACACAATCCTAGCAAGAATGTAACCAAGGAGCCCATGAATATTCACTTTATTAAATTGCAGACGGCGGCCAACCACAAGGAGGCTCTTACCATAAAGAAACTGTGCAAGCAGGTTGTCAAGGTGGAGACTGCTCGAAGAAGCCAGGATGTGGTGCAATGCCATAGATGCCGGGAGTACGGGCACATAGCCACATACTGTAGAAAACAAATGCGTTAATTTGGGGCTCATTTACACACGGCCCGACTCAGTTTCGGCAACATGCGCCCACTTACAATTATAAGGGCTGCGAGTGATGCACCGAATATACAAAGCGTGCTGGGGCCCCAAAGCCCGCCAAAATGAAAAATCTCCCGCCGACTCAAGCGAACTGAAGCCGCAGCAATAAAATTCATAGGCATATACCTGTTGACATCCCCCGTACAGTATCCACTGAATAAGTAGAAGGGCTTTCATTCGCCGCTGCCATCAGAAGTGGATTAGCTGCATTCAGCAAATTGAACAACGGCTCCAGTTCTAGTTTTATAAAACATATAACTTAAATATAAATATTTATAATAATATGCATGTATTTGTATACCCTGAACACATTTATAGTGCATAACGAGAAAGAAAGAAAATATTCGGTACGCCGAAGATTTAATACCCTTGTAGATCTAACCTTTCAATAGGGCTTTGCCCGTATCTAAGAAGCACAGTGAAAATAGTTAATGCCGAGTTTGGTCAAGATATCTTGAAAATCAAAAAAAATTCCATATAGCAACTTAATTTTTGACCAGTCGTTGCTACGGCGGCTACATGATATAGTTCTCCGATGTAAATAAGATTTTGCATAAATGGAGAAAGCGTAGCGGCATTTATTAGTTTTACTATACTCCTCAAATATATGCAAAATCCTATTAGGATCGGACCACTATATCATATAGCTGCCATAGGATCGATATCTTGACCAAACTCGGCATTTATTAGTTTTACTATACTGCTAATATATATGCAAAATCCTATTAGGATCGGACCACTATATCATATAGCTGCCAAAGGATCGATATCTTGACCAAACTCGGCATTTATTAGTTTT